ACACGCCATAATAACAACAAACAATAATAACGAACAACAGAGAGAGAGAAAAAAGTCAAGGCGTAACTAGTGGTTTTAAGAAAGAATACAGATCATATAAAAGATTCAATGTGTGCACAGAGAGAGAGGAAAAGAAGAAATCAGGTGAGTTAATAAATTAATTAGATACGGTGTATCCCAACATTTTTTTTGTTAATATATGTAAATATATATATATATATATGGAATGAAGAAGAAAAAAATAATGTAAAACACATACAATTAAAGATTCTAGTTAAAGAGAAAAAGAAGTTAAAAGTTATTTTAAGATCATTCATAAATGAATTATTTTCCAGCTGTTTGTTGTTGTTTTAATTGAAGTAAAACACTTCTATAACGTGTTAAATCTTTTTGTGAACGATTATTTTTTGGATTAAATTCACATAAACTTGTTATTTTATCCCAATCATTAAGTTTACCATTTGATGTTGTAGAATTATTTTTTCCATTATTAAATAGATCATCTTCAAATGTACGATTATTTGTACGATTTTGTCCTTTCGTACGTTCTAATTGTTCAATACGTTGTTTATGAAAATCATCTAATTCTTTTTTAGCTTGTTCACGCATTTCTTTACGTTTTATTTCTTCTTCCGTATCTTTCTTTTCAATACGTGTTGCAAATTCTTCTCTCCATTTTCGAATTGTTTCAGGTTCATTTAATTGAGATAATGCTTGATATTGGGAACCATTCGATGGAACTGGAGAAACACTTCCATCCGTATTTAACATTGGTGAATGAGTGCCTAAATAAATTTATTTAACAAAAAAATAAACACATTATTAATTTGTTGTTACCATTTGTGAGAAGATTATTATTATTATTTGTTGGTTTTGAATTAAATGGATCATCAAATGAAGTGGCATCACCATTACCAGTAATATCACCTAGTTCACGTTTTTCACGTTCAAGAAATTCAGCAGCGGGATCTTCATCATTAAAATTATAGAAAGCATTTGGTGTATCACCATCGATATTAGTGGCATTAGTATTAAATGGATCATCAAAAGCCATGATGTGAAATGAAAAATGAAAATAAGATCTTTAAAAGAATGATGAGGAATTGAAATTTATAGCTTTTCAATGACGACGACGCCTATATTATTTATTTGTTTTGTTTATTTGATCATTTTCTTGATTAATCAATGTTAAATAAAACTATCCAATCAAAAGGAACTTATCTTAGATGTCACTAGTCACTTGTGACGAATAATTTTATTAACGATAAAAGAAAATGAAATTATAGAGAAAAAATTTGTATTGGATCACGAATAATTTAATTTTAATAATAAAATATTGTGTTTTGTTTATAAAATGAATAGGATATCTATAAACTCTATTTTTTTCAATATTACTTGTTCAATAACATAAGACGTTAGAAATAGAAACATTTGATAGCGTTATGATAACTGACAACGGTTAGCTTGAAGAACAGGATTCAAAATTTTTACAAAGAACAAACAAAAAGCAATTTGGGTTATTGACATTTACCAATCATTGTTTTGAAGATCAAATTTCTAATTCAATAACGCTAGCCAAAAACAATCTTGAATCATTATTTTGTATCAAGTAACAAAACAAAATACAATAGTTTGTAAAATTAAAAAACATCATTCATATAGTTGATTCATTGTATGCAATCATAGAGATATCATTAACCATGATTCGATATACATACATATATGTAACATGTATAGATGATGAAAATTTCCTAATTTATCGCTTCAGTAAAACAAGTATTCTGATGTTAAGATTATTTCGTAATACATTATAGAAATGCGATTAAGATACAATAGCAAAGTTTGAATAATATTGCAAATTATTTTATTATGATGATAAGTCATATAGTAAATATTCCTTAGAAAAAGTATTTAATTTATCTTCTGATGAAGCAAATGTTAAGTAGTCAATACAAAGAAAATACTTCTCTTCTTTTTGAACAAAATATCTTTTATGCTATCTTATTTTGAATTACCCTTTATATATTTAGAATATCTTTGAAAAGTAAAGAAAAACGGAAGTAAACTGACATTGCTGCTTTACTAGTTTGAATAGATTTTAAAATTTTTATTTAACAAAAAAAAATCATCATGAACAGTAGTCTCTTAAATAGAGAACCTTCATCTATCTATTTAACTATTAGTTTTCTTCTGCTAGGAATCATGGAACTAATTAATATAGTTTTAAGTTCTATTCTTATACTAACTATTATATTATCTCGGACTCTTCGAACTATTCCAAATTTATTAACGGTTAACTCTAGTTTTGCCATATTTATGTATGCTCTAATTCTCTGTGTTCAACTAATCATTGCATTACAAGGAAGAAACAAACAAAACGAAATTATGTGTATATTTCTTACTTATTTTACAAGTATAGCAACAAATGCTATATGTTATTCATATCTTGTTACAGCTATAAGTCAATATTTCTTTAATATTTTATATCGTCGAAAATATTTGTTAACCTTCCGCATGCATTGGTTCATTATTTTTCTTAGTTGGTTTATCAGTTTTCTTTTACCATTACTTCTATATCTACAGGGTAAGTATACTGGACTTCTGAAAGATACATATATATATAATATCCATCATTTCAGGTGCACTTCGATATTCATCCGAAACACATATGTGTTTTCTCGAATTATCCAAACAATGGGCTGTTTTAAGTTACATGATCATAGCTATTGGTATACCCTACTTTAGTATCATTTTTATTTATCGAAATATTATTCGCCATACTCGACGTATAAATACGATGATTAATGCTACATCAAATTTACAAATAATGTCAAATCGAGATCTACGAGTTCTTAAAAATATACTTATACTAATTGGTATTCTAGGTGCAGCTGGATTGCCTAGTTTGATTCTTTTTATATGGAATTTAGTTACACCAGGCAAAGCACCAGTTCCATTTTATCTCGCTTGTATTCTTGTAATTAATATTTGTACAAACATACAAATTTTATTTATTTTTAATATGAACAAAAATACGAAAATTATTTTCTGGAATCGTGTTAAGAGTGTATTTCAATGATTTGTTATAAATGAGAATTTATCTTATACATTTGTTTATTCAAAGCTTCGTTAACAATCATGTTAGAATAAGAAAAGATGAAAAGATCTTGCAATTATAGAATTCTAATATGAACACAGAAATAGATTTCATTGAAATGGAAACATCAATGTAGGATAAGATGTGTGTATCATAACAAGAAGTATGCATGCATATAAAATTATAATGTATTGTACGTAAAGCGAAGAATAGATAGAATCATATCACAATATTCTCGTAT